AAAAAAAAAAAAAAAAAAAAAAAAAAAAAAAATCAGGGAGCATGTTGGTTTCCTTTGAAGCAGTTAATAAAAAGCTTCCTTTCCCCCTTACCAATGAGCGTTCTTTTCCTGCTGGATGCATATTTAGAAACACTCCAGGCACATCTACATGAGACGCCTTAATATACGGTAGGTAGACTGTTCTGTGTCTTAGCATGTCATGGCAAATACCATGCTAATGCACAATAGAATTAGTCTACTGTGTATTAAGCATCACAAAAAAAAAAAAAAATGTTCACCTTTGCTATTATGCATTAGTGCAGGTACTGCGCCTTCATCTAGTACTTCATATTAGAGGGTGTTTATGCATGTGCTGGGGTAGGGGGGATGCGCTCTTTAATTAGAGCGGCTTCAAGAGCCACTCTAATTAAAGCACCCAGAGCATCTTCTGTATCAGCATCCTAGCACTTTGTAATAGCAGTGGGAATGCTTTATTTAACACTCATTTGACGAGCGTTAGATAAAATGCCCATACTGCCATTATGACGTGCGGGGATGCTGATACACAAGATGCAGGAGGCTGCTGGAGCATGGCAATTGAATAATTGAGTCTGCTGTGATGTGCTGGGACTACAGCATGTTGGAATAGCCTCTCTGCTCATGTATAGGAACCTGTAGGTACTAAAATAAATGCAGTAGCAAAGGTGCGTTTAATGAACGTGTAGATGTGCCCTCTGTCACTCCCCACAGAAATGCGAAAGCACTATTAGCAGATCAGCACTGAGCTTTGGTATTCTCTTACCTTCGTGTTTGAGAAGCCAGAAAGATCTGTGATCTATACATCAATTCCCTGAATAACAGGGTCATTCTAGTTGCACCTCTTGTTTCCTACCTGCAACTCCACCACTTTTTCAATGACACAGAGTATAACTACTGAAATCAAGCTACTCTTGATGCAAAGTGGTAGTTGAGGGGAGCTGATGGTCCTTTCTGGCCTTATGCTCTATTATTAGTTGTGCTTACCGGTTGCCTAGCATAGCCGCGATCAGCATCAGCCTTCCCATAGAGCCTGACCCACACCTTTCCAGCTACAGATAAAATCCAGGTTCATTCAGACATTGCATTCTCCACAGTTACCAGGTACAAAGCAATCTCTACACCATTTGAACACCATAGCGCTGTGCCATGTTGTCAGAACACAGAAACAATTCCTCTCAAGCCACACAGCTTTCTGCCTCTGATCTTAACAAACAAGGAAACTATTTCATCCAGCTCAGCTTGCCATGATCTCCTGCTTGAGAAAAGGCTCAGTCTGTGCCCCTGTTCCCTAGTATCTAGACCAAACTGCACATAGCTCCTTCCCTTCCACTGTCCTGCATTAGAGCAGCAATTTAGCCACTGAGTTTTGCAGAGGCCAGTTATCCCTCATTAGCACTGGCCTAAGGAATAACAACTGGGCCTGTCCATGCTCTTCTGAAAGGGCACTAGCCTGCTTATAACACCCAAAGGGTCACAGGTCTATCTAGCTTCAGGTTTCTGTGGTTAAGGCACCCAGATTCCTACAGCCAGGGGCATGCAAGGCAGTGATGTACTTGGCATCTCAGCCATGTGCGACTGCTTTCACCTAAAGGGCCAGGTGCCCATTTCCAGCTGTCAGCAGAGGGCAGCACTTCAGCACGGTTCCAGCACCCCAGCCTTCACAGCAGAATAATAAAATGATCTCCTCCCCACACAAGCATATGTGGCACTTTCGGGGTATTGGGCTACAAGCATACATCAAACTGTTTGTAAACAGCTAGCAGCCTGGCCCCCGCAAAGCTTCTGATGAAAAAACTAAGAAATATTAATGAGGTTTTACTACCATTTTCTGACAAATCCTATTCATAAGTCCAGTTCTTACAGTGTTGAGGGCCGAGTAGACTTAATGTTACAGCTTTCCCACCCCATCCCCCTTCTTATCTGTCCTGGTTCCTACTGATACTTATTCAGATTATCCTAGCACCAAGAAGCCCCATCGTACCAGGGACAAAGACAGGAAAAAGTGGGCCCTACTGTAAAGAGCTGACAGTCTGAGGCTCAGATAGGAGCTGACAGGTAGACAGAGATGGAGAGCACAAGGAAATAATGACTATAACCACATTGTGGATACAGCAAAATAGTGTAGACATGCCCCAGGTATCTTGAAGCAAGCTGGTGGGAGTCCAGGGGGGAAACGTAGCTGTGTCAGCATGGCACTTTGTGCTAGTTTCTCCTACTTCTCCATGTGTTTTGCAGCTGCAAGGGGTTGTACTGATGCAGTTAGACTGTGACTGGTTCACAGGTTACCTAATTTAAAGTTGTGAATCCCCCTGCTGTGACATAAGGGAAACTCATCCCCATTTCAGAAGTGAGGAAATGAGGCACAGGTGAAATTAAGTGACTTGCCAAGGCCACACAGGAAGCCTGTATTGGAGTTGGTCCTTAGGGAAGGGTGCAGTGCTGTAACTAGTTGTTCCTTCCTGTACAGTTCCAAGCAGAGGAAGAAGAATATTCCAAGAAGAATAACTGCAAGAGGGTTGGTACAAAGGGCAACACACGTGGAAGTGTGAGCGGACAAATACTGGGCAAAATTTTCAAAAGTGAGTAGTGGTTTGTGAGTGTCTCAGTTCTCAGGGCCTAATGTCTAGGGTATTATTCTAAATACTGGGCTCCATCAAGGGAACTCAGTCTGAGCACCCCAAACCATGCACCATTTTTTGGAAACTCTGGCCTCAAATTTGAAAAAAGGCCTGGATCAATAAGGTACTTAAAACATCTTTGTTAACATGTAGCTAGTGAACACAGCTCTTGATCTTAATGGGAACATGCGCATGCTTAAACTTATGCATGACCTAAGCACTTCCCTGAATTGGGGCTGTAAGAAGCACGCTAGTAAGTGCAAAGTACAATGATACAGCTAGCTGTTAGATCGTGTTTCATGCTTCAGAAAAAATGCACCCACCCTGCTGCTGCCTTAATGTTGGCTTTTATCCTGGACTATAATAAGTACCCAGCGACCTTCGCATCCACATTATCTTTTGCATTTACAGCTTTATAAGAAGCAATTAAACCCTCTTCCAGTTTCTGGGAAGTTCCTGGCATGGTAGCACCAAGATGAAAAAGTTACACAATAAAAAATTGCCCAAACTACTCTGAATGTAGCCCTGAAAAATCATGCAATTTCTTTACTGGAACAGAAACATTTGCAACTCTTAATCTGACCTGTCAGTGGCACAGGAGGGAGCAGTTGTTCCCCATTTTCCTAAGGGGGGGCCTTCCGTGATCTCTCATGCCTTCAGGATGTAGAGTGTTATTCCAGTGCCACATCCTGCATCCAGGCTGGAGGAAACTCCCGAAAAACTACATCACAGAACTGGCCTAGGGATTATACCATCATAAGTGAGGAGTATTGCTCTCTACTTTAGAATCACTGAAGTCTATATGTTATAGAAAGCAAATCAGGGATTATGAAATATGTTATTGTGAAAGGGGATTAGCCCGGACCTACAGAAACCCTTACGGCAAGAGGATGCTGAGGGAATTCCTGTCCACCTCCTCAAGTACACAGAGGCAGGGGAGCTGGGTTGTGGCTACTCCCCATAGTATTTCCCTCCAGAGGGCAAAGGGTCCTGGAGCTCAGTGGTATAGGACTGAATGCTTTTTTTTCCCCTCACCCCCACCTGACTTGGGTGAAGTCCAGGGGTCACCAAAAGTAGAATTTGGCTTCCTAGGGAGAGTGCAGTTGATTGAAGATGGGTTTGGCAAGGAAATAATGGTCTCACCCTACTTGCCCCCTGCCAAAATTGTGCCTGATAAGAGTCAATAAAATACATGTATACTGGGGAGAGGTCTTTAAAAAGACTGGGTGGACAATGTGTTTCCCACCTGGTGAAGCATTCTGAAATGATACTTAGGGGCAACCAGATGTTAGGTAACCAAATGGACCCAGTACTTGCCTGGCATGCTCTGTTCTGCACGGTCATGCTTCAAGCTGTTTCAGCTGCCCTGTGCTTTCTGCCCTTCTAGTTCAATCTATCCTGCTGTGCTGTGTATGCAAAACACAGGAGTGCTGACTCTCTGGCATCCTGGGTATTTTCCATAAAGCTCCAGCTCCTGGAGACAAGCAGTACTAACATGAGACTTTCAGTTTTCACAGAGTAGATTTATAGCCCTACTGCTTGGGGGACAGCTTGCAAAGATCACCTGCACACAACCCTCAGGACTTTAATACCAGGTGGGAAATAAAAATAAACCAACATTTACTCTCTCTAAAGAACAGCTCATAATTGTTAGGCCAATTTCATGATCTGGAGGCCTGACTCATGATTTTTTAATGTTTGGGGCTGGCAATATGGCAAATGCTGTAACAGTGGGAGGAGGGGAACATATTGCACTTGGGCTGGTAGGTGTGACGACTGTTAGCAGGGGAAGGGTTCATATGGCCTGTTTCAAGGGGTCCCTGCTGAAGCCCAGTTGGCCCAAGCGCACACAAGCCTTTGCAGGCCCATGCCAACAGCACATAAGACATTTGCATCCAGTCAACCCAAACAGGCTTTTTCTCAGTACAAAGGCACCATTTATTATAAATCACTCAAGTCAAGAGTACAAAATTCAAATGTACAAAAGTGCTTATGCATAGTTTGGAATCCCACCGATGTGGGCGTTATAAACAGCGGTAGCAGATCCAAGTGTGGCAACCTCTCCATCTGCATGTAAGACATTCCCATGCTGGAATAGTTATATTATTACTTAATTTGCAATCTCTGCTAAAATCAAGACCATCCACACAAGAAGACA